CGTGCTATCCACATTGTTGATTTTTTATGATCTGGATTCGAAACGGAATATGAAGTTAGTCGAAAGATGAAGGTCTCTATTGATGAGTTTAACTCATAGAAATACTAACTTGCCGGTAATATATAGCATTAATAAGGGTAGTGCAGCTTTTACATAGACTTTTAGGAAGGAATAGATCTTGATCAACTAATATCGGTGTTGAATAACGTCGGTGGACATTTATTATCAGATGGAGAGAGTGCTATTAAATGTACAAAAAATTATTTTACACCCATTCCGATCGAAATGAATCTTAGATATTATATAGGTACTTTAACTTGTATTTTAGAAACTCTTTTATGATTGAACTACTCATATTTTTGATCTGTTTTACACCAGCTTTTACTTTCTAAGATAAACAAACTAAATAATATAGCGTACTTTCACTCAGATTATTTTCAATTTAGAAATACATTAACAAACTTCACTTAATTGTTTTATAGGTATATACAAGATTTATTATATAAGTAAATACAGTGTAAACTCCATATAACGACTCTCGATTTAACGACAAACTCTCTAAAGCGTCGAAATCATTTGACTTTGGTTGGTTTAGCTTGTCCACCATACAATGACACACTCTATATAGCGTCACAGCCACTCTCAATAACGACAAAATTAAGTAATAAAAAGTACCCTTTAAGTTGTTAAAATTAGTAAAAAATGCGCAGCTGTGTACGTTTTTTTGTCGCTTTGTTATCCTAGCCCGCAATAAACTCCACTGTCGTAATCATGCATACCAAACTTTCTAAGAAATTCGTTCTTCACCAATATGCCTCAATATCGCAAGATATGAATAGAATACGTAAAAAATACAACAACATTACTGGTGCAGCAAAACACGTCAAACAAAAACAACAGACTTTATAACATTCTTTTTTATGTACATAAGTACTAACAGTAGTCTGAAACAAACTTTGTCTTTTTGTAATTCTACTTTTTCTTCCCTCTATTTAACGGCAACTCTCTATAACGCACTAAAATGCACGGTCCCTTCAGTGTCGTTATATAGAGTTTACACTGTATATATGTATATAGTGAAATTTGTTTAAATGAGTCTGTAAACTTATAACGGGGATATTTTTTGTGTATCACGTTGGTCGTTGGCCTTCATTCTCAGATGACTGTTAAAAACATTAACTTGCAGGATCGTCGTACAATCAATTACCTTTTTTTGCTAACTAATTGATGTAAGCGTTTTGTTTGAAGGAGTTACTACATTATAAGTACCTATACTTATGATGAGCACACTTAATAAGATAATAATGAGAATTTTGTACTGAATTGGACAATATTGAGTGTTGGCGTTTAACATGTGTTTTAAGATAATAAATAGTGAAGTAGCTTCGGAGATTCATTGAAGTTGTATTAATAAACAATCATGTGTCTGTAGGAATACTTTATGAACATATTTTTTTAGGTCAACTCCTGGTAACCTAGTTAACCTAAGTCTTTGTATATAATACTTTTAAAATAGTTGCCAATTTGTAGCGTTCTGTTTGAATTAAGGGATTTTTCTTTTTATTTTATTGTTGTCAAAAGTAGTTCTTATTATTTAAGACAAAGTATAATATAAATAGTTTAGCATATATGTATATCAAAGAAAGCTGTCGTAAACGGTAAAATACAGTTTGTCGTATTATTTTTTCTTCTAAAGTATATTATTTACAAATTACAAGTATGTTAAATTCACGTATGTATCTATGATAAATATATCCACTTCAAATGTGTTCGTACTACACATAAACTTGAATTTCTAGAGTTTACTATTTTAAATAAAGATGGGGTTTTAATTGAATAAAGTGAACGCTTTGACATTTTTATACTCACGGACGTCAAATACATACTAATAATATTTAAAATAAGTAAGTTTGTGAGTATGTATGTTACTCTATTACATATAAACTACTTAACAGATTAAGATGAAACTTTACTGTAATACAACTTAGAAATGTAGTTCCTGTTACAAGTAGATTTAATGAAGTCACGTGACATATAATGTGGGTCTTCTAGCAAGTTGCCTACAATACCTGTTGTAGTGACACACTTTATATATACAGGGTGACTGGTGAATTACTATCGATACTTGAGGACGTGATATTTGACGATCATATATGACAAAATAAAAATTAATATAACATAAATATTAATAAACTTCTAAGTAAAGTTAACCAAAAGTTATGTAATTAATTACGCATCGTGTGAACACCCTACAGATTAGGTATACACACACACACACACACACATACGCGTTGTGCGGCGTAGTGTTGTATCAGCACGCCGCCGTACGCGTCCACACTTGGAACACTTAGAACGTGTCAACACTTTATTTATTTACTAGCTTTCCGCCCGCAGCTTCGCCGCGTGGAGTTCGGTTATATCGCGTTTCCAAGAGAACCTTTCAAAAGTCTGGGATAAAAACTATCCTATGTTCTTTCTCAAGGTCAACTCTATCTCTGTACCGAATTTCATTAAAATCAGTTCAGTGGTTTAGGCGTGAAAGCGTAGCAGACAGACAGACAGACAGACAGACAGAGTTACTTTCGCATTTATAATATTAGTAGGGATACGGAAATTTTGTCAAAAATTAAGTGCCTATTTTTTTTTACATAATTCGAATGAGAATCATGTACCGAGTAATCTCCTTAAATATTGATAGTAATTCACCAGTCACCCTGTATAGTACCCTCTGTCATCGGAGGCTCATTCCGAAGTCCACGAAGACATAGCAGCGGGCAGAAGGTAGTTCAACATGAACTAATCGTAATTTATTAAGAAACGAGCAATATTTACGGGACAATAAATGAAAAGTTTTATAAGACGCAAATAGCTCATCTTCTATATATTCGGTTTCATATTAGTTTTCAAGAAAACTACAAGTCTTTTTACTTGTATGAATTACTATTTTTTGTTAGTGCGAAACAAGTTATTATTTATGCTCTACGTTTATATTGACCTCGAGGCAAAATATACATTAAGTAAAATCGAAATATACTCCGATATAATAATAAGTTCGTAAAAACAACACGCATTATTTAAAATCTAATTAGATAATTAGCTTATATACTATTTTTTTATTTTTGTAACTATACCTACTCATATGTCAATAAAGAAAAACTCGAGAATATTTCAAAAGTAGTATTATTAATAATCGCATGTATATATGTATTTAAGTAATATATCTTTCTTCATAATAATTAATTAATCTTTCAATTCATTATCGGACCCGAGAACTGGCATGTCCGAGATATAATGAGAATAGAGATGGATAAAGGTTCTTCATCTTCTACATATATAAAAATGGATTGCTGTTCCTTAGTCTCGCTAAAACTCGAGAACAGCTGAACGGATTTATCTTATCTTAGTCTTGAAATGTTCGTGTAGGTTCAGGGAAGGTATAAAAGCTGAAAAAAATTGATTCATTACTGGGAAAACCATAAAAACAGCCCTTTTCTATTTCCCATACAAACGTTTTTTTGACATTAGATTTGACAACTAACTAATATGTCAATCATTCTGTCGCACTTCAAAACACGGAGATTTATGGCTTACAGGTAAACTCCAAAAATATGAATAAAAAAACGTAATAGACATTTCTTGATTCTAGGGCGATACGAAGTTCGCCAGGTCTTCTAGTACTTAATAATCTCTATAGTAAATTTATTCTCTAAAACCAATACTCATTCACGTATATATAAAAAATACTTTAGACATCTGCGAAATATGTAAACATAGAGATGCGAATGTTACGAATTTGTGACGGTTATGTCAACTGGGATTTAAAATGAACTTTCTACGAAGCATTAGAGAACACTAGAAATAATACATAAAATCGTTTAACCTACATATTTCATTATTTAATTCTATATGTTATGTCAAATAAATGAGATATAAATTAATTATTAGACCTCTTCATATTTATCGAGGTTATTTTATTACTCGTTTATTCTAGATGTGATGAAATTGAATTATATTAATAATTGAATACCGGTGTCGCAATATATGTCAGGATTTATGTATTTATAGGATTTTCTGTGAGATGTTATAATTAATTGATACTAATGTCCATGTGTCAAAACGGAAGCTGATTTGTTAGGTTTTTATGTTTACTACTTGTGTTTAGGAATGTAGGAAATATGCGATAAATATTAATGGTGAATAACCTATTATTATTATGGACAACTATAGCTTATAATTCGCAATACTCAAATGTTGAATTCTCAATACTGTGGCATTGAACTAAGACCTTATCATCGGGAGATGCCAGCATAAAAAATAAAAATATTTTTTTAGTGTTCAAAACATACATAAAATTCTCTTATATTTAAAATAAAATCAGTTTTATAATGTAAATGTAAGATATATATTAATTTGTCCGTCTCTTGTGTTAAGATAAACGACATTGTAGTGTTAATTATTATGTATAATAACATCTCAATGACATGTGAAGTTCGAACAGAATATGTATCAATTAATTGATTACTAATTGCTTACAATCATTACTTCCTATTCTCCGATATGATAATTATGTAGTAATTATTCATTCCCAACACAAATTAATAATATATCTTCTTCTTCCTGGCAATTTCCCAGCTATAGTCAGGGTCTGCGTTACATGTTGTGAATAGTTTTGGCTAATTGTTTTTAAGACTGGCTGCCTGCCTGACATCAACCCTCTTTGGGAATGCATTAATCAGTGATGTCTAAATAGTCTTAGAAAGTACATATGACTCGGAAAAATCACATTGCCCGGGCCAGGATCGAACCCGCGTGCTCCGCAACGAGAGACGGGCCCTTTAACCACTAGGCCCCCACTGACTGATTAATAATAATTAATTAATAATATTTTTTATAAACATTTATTCTCTGTAAAATTTTCTATGCAGTATCGATCTGTAGTGCAATACTTTGTTTGTTCTGTAACAAATAACAATCTACCCTCATGTCTCCTGTATTTTCAGATGCAGACCATACTTCATCACAACAGTAGTGGCGCCGCGGCCTACACCGGTCGTCTGAAGAAACGAGAGGTCCACAGAGCGATCACCCTACACCCTGTGAAAGACCATCGACAGATGTACAGATTACACACGTACTTTAAGGTAACACTACCCATCATGTCATGTAGTGTTTGTATCTATACAATAGATATAATATACTGTCTCACGTACCCCACTAGAGGGGGCGGCATGCGCTCGGCAGACTCACCACTAGCGCGGAGCAGAATGGTGGCGTGCGCCTGCGCTCTAGGCGGGGTAGTAGTATGCCAGTGACTAGTTAGGTATACTTACATAGAGGACCATGGGGTCTTACAGTATTGATAACTTAACAGTTTGAAAAATTACGTGTAGCTTACTAATTTATTAAGATTTATGTCACACAAACTCATTAGACACAACAAACAACAACGATTTTAAATTAAAAATATAATATGTCATTCAGAACTTTAGACCTTCAAAGGATATTACACATCTCAAGTCACTATCACAAAGTATTTCCAAATTTAAAGAGAATGAAATAAAACTATCTGTAATGCACGTAAATTATATTGATTCAATTCAAATATTCAATTGCATACATAATAAAAGCTTATATATTAAATAATTCGGGCATTAATTTGGGCAACGCATCTATAACACCTCTTATGTTCAATAGTCACTGGGCGACGGTAACTACTTACTATCAGGTAGGCCGTCTGCCCGTTTGCTCCTTTAGGACATTAAAAAATGACTAAAGACTGCCCCACGCAGATTTTTTAAACGTTTCGTAAGGAAATAACAGTGTCATATATTCTACTGTGTCTAACATAGTTTGATGACAAAATAAAACTTTATTTAAAAGTAATTAAATAAGAAGTAGATAAACAAGAAGAAATAAGTCAAAGATTTTTGAAAATCATGTTTTTGATTGTAAATAGATATATTTAAAAGTTTTTCTTAAATAATTGTTATGTATTGTATACGTTTGCTATATATAGTATTTTCTACATCTCTATACAGACACGGTAAAGATTGCGCACAAAATTAATAATGAAATAACTTTAAGTATTAAGTTGTTTAATTATTTGAGAGCCTGACTTGAACCACGGGTCGTGTTAGTGTGACGTCACACGAAAACGGTTCCTATTGTTTAGGATTTATTATTGTTCTAGATTTTTCATACAATATCGAAGATTATTATCGAAAGATTGTTCAAATAATGTTTTTGTAAAGTTAATTCATAAGCCTTATGTTTGCCATTTAACATTATTAATATATAATTTCTATATTGTATTAGGAAACTAAAATATACAGTCAGGTATTCATTCATAAGTCTTCACACGTGATCGTATCGTAGACTCAAATAGGAAGGAAAAACTAAACTATTGGTACTTAGTTTTAAGAATACAAACTCAGTAATGATACGTAGAGTATATTACAGTAATAGAAAGTAAGTATTGACCGTGCTCTTGAAGTTACAAAGTTATAATAAAGAATTGCACTACATTTTTTTATTCTATTATAAGAATACACTTTGATTAATATGTATATTCCGAATATTAAAAGACTCTTGCTTTGATAAATATTAAAAAATATCTTAACAATTTAGTTTTTGATTTAATAGTATCTCTGTAGTTTGATAAGGATTCACTTCAAAGATAAAATATGAACACGTAATATCTCATATTTAAATGTATATTTTTTGTTAGTGACTAAGTGATTTCGCAATTGGGTTAAGAGGACTGCATAATATTTGCTTAAAAATATATTCACTTGAAATAACTGCTAGCGCCATCTATTATCAATTAGCGACATTAGACAAAATAAGTTATGACGCGCCTAATGCGAACTTTATGCTGATTTATGAGCATATTTATTGTATTTTCATTAAAGTATTTTCGGTAGTTTTAAGATGAAATCCTTAAAAATTATAATATCAGTACTATAATGATAGGATCATTTGATATTTTTCATATAACGGTATCAATATAATGCGGTGTCAATAGCCACGTGCGATCAGTGTGAGAATACGGGTGCATTGGACGAAACAAAAGAATATACGATAGACTATTATAAACATGGAGATAATAGTTGATTTATATAGATTTAATATAAAGCTTAGGTTGTGTTAGTTTTCAAAGTAGTTGTTAGAGCTCATGACTACAAAGTAATATGATTTTAAGTATTACGGTAGCGATTTATTAATTATAAACACAAATAAAACTATTATTTTTGAAATACTATATAGTCAATTTCAATAGAAATTGGCAATCTTGTAAACAAAGCAACTGATCACTATTACTCCGTTCTTACGTACAATGAAATATCAGTCCTGATAATAATCACACCTCAATAAACCACTGTTTTAACAATCTATTCATCATGAAAAAACTGTGTATATATGAACACGAAAATTTATTGCAATTGGCGAATTGACACGATCATTTTTTACTCATCAAAGTCCATAGTATATTCAAATTAATAAAAAACGCGTAGTAATCCGAAAATATTAATTCACAAACTTAGTTCTCATTATATATATGTTCGTGTTACAGAATCTTCACATCCAAAGTCTTCGAGAGCAATCGTTGGACCTCCACAGAGACATCGCCTCTTCAGTGCACGAGCTCGGCGTGAAGATGGATCAAGTGGCGGATTACGAGCTCGAGCCCGGGGTGCCGCTGTTCCCCGCTAAGATCGGAGAGCCGGGGTACTTGGGGAATAATCGGATATTAGGTAGGACTTACACTCAACACACTGAATAACTTTACGGTGTATAGAGAAAAAAATAGGTTGTTTACTATATGAAATAATATTAAATATGAAACTAGGTTCCATATACTAGATGTAAAACATCTATATAGAAATATTAATATGGATTTAGTTTTAATCTTTTGTTCCAACACTCGTCATTTGTCGTAATTGTAAAACAACATCTTTGATTTGATGTTGATATAACATATAAGTTAAAATGAAACTAATATTTTTCGGATATACTACGGTTGCTTGATTTTTGTAAAAAGCTATACATATACTCGCAACGTTTCGGCTAGTTTTCACGGTGATCACGGTTGCTGAAAAGTAGCCGAAACACCGGGAGTATGTAGCATTTTACAATATCAAGCACGCATATTATATCCGAATAATATTAGTTTCATTTAAATGAATTTTTTCGACAGTCTTATATCTCAACATAAAGTTCATTTAACAGCATGTGTTTTTGTATTATAATATAAATTATATGTCAATATTAGTGTTGTAACTGTTCCAGGAGCCCCGGTGGACTTCAACAGGTTCAAGGCGGACACCTTAGAAGACATAGTGCCGTTCGACTTCATCAGCAAGTCCATCTACTCCATCAGTCACTCCAACCCCAAGAGGAGGATTGAAACTCCTCTGAAGGAAGCTATAGATGATATTATTAGAGAGGTGAGATAATAGATTCATTTATTTATTGTCTTTATGGCTGATTGTTAAGAGAATAACTTAAGGCATATTTTGCCCTACGTATTTCAGTTCAACCAATTTTATAATTATCTTTATATTAAATATATTGTCTTTCACTATCTGAGTGACTCATGTGCTCTGAAGCCTCTTGAGGTTGCACATAATAAAATCTTAGAGTATTAGAGTGATCTTATTCTATGCATTCAGTAGACTTAGAATTTGTAGATATTTAGATAGAATTTAAAAGTCTAGACTATGTACTTGTAATATTGAATATTATATTACTTTTTGCATACTATAGTGTGAAACTAACAAAGTTCTTTACGAGACCTCTTTCATCCATAGAAACACGTTACACTCCCGTTTTTAGTTTCTGTTGTTTAATAAATTTCAATATAGTTCGTATTACAACCGATCACCTTCATATGATGATGAATAGTAGGGGTGATTACGTCACCATAGTAATTCATATCGCTCTTGTTCAATCATACACAACAGCTACAGTGACAGTGTTGTGTCTCTACCCCTGACTAGTGTGTATATAACTCCCCTGCCGTGTTCAGGTGATGGAGATCATCAACGGTCCGTCCCGCCAGCGCGGGCGGGTGATCGACTTCAACGAGCTGCTGTACGGGTACGTGAGGCTGCAGCCGCTGCAGGGCGTGGACACGGTGCTGGACCTGCTGCTGCAGTACAGGAGGTACCGCGGCAGGAAGATGACCGCCGCCGTGCGCAGGCACGCATACCTGCAGCAGACATTCGCCGGTACGTACTGAAATACACTATACGGAACGTGTCCGGTGCACCAGAACTGTACAGAATGTGTCCGTTATACCAGAACTATACAGAAACACCTATGTTGGTTACGTAAGGACACACTAGAGATACCTTGTCACCAGTTACACGTATGGTCATGGTATCGAGAATATGGTAATAGGAATAGCGATTATCCCTACTAATATTATAAATGCGAAAGTAACTCTGTCTGTGTGTTTGTTACGCTTTCACGGCCTAAACCACTGAACTGATTTTAATGAAATTTGGTACAGAGATAGAGTTGACCTTGAGAAAGAACATAGGATAGTTTTTATCCCAGACTTTTGAAAGGTTCTCTTGGAAACTCGATATAACCGAACTCTACGCGGGCGAGGCTGCGGGCGGAAATAGTAGAATATAAAATAATTGTTTGTATATAAATTAAATCGGTTGTTATATTGTCCTTGATGATTTTATAAAATAACTATCAGTTATGGGCCTTTGTAAATGTGATATTTTAACATACAAAAATTTATTGTTAATAGTGTTGGTTTTGATTAAATTTATAAGAAGTGATACAAGTTATTACTAAAATTAACTTCAGAATAAGACGTTGAGTATATGTACCTTCAGAAATCAAGCAAAGAAGGGAAAAGCTTACGGTATTAAAAAAAATTATGTCATAAATCTACAATTTCTTTTTACTATCGAAACCAATTACGATATCTGTTTCATAAATTTTTCCGATGAGTTCCTCACCAAAATCTATTTATTTCATTATCTTAGATAATGAAAGTTATATCTTCTAATGACATTGTTGTTTGTATATTTCAGCTACGGAGATCCGTGAGTTACCGATGGGTGAACCTCCGCCGGCCGAGGACCCGCAGCTGTTGGAGAGACTTGACCAGCTTGAGGACGAAGACTTGGAAGATACGGAGAGAGGAAGGACCAGTGGGCTGTTGGACAGGATCAAGGTGAGGGAGGCCTTCCAACACGGACTCTCACAACTAAGGAACGGACTGCCCAAGATACTCAAGTGGAGCGACGACTTCGAATATCCGATATACGACCGACGGATACACTTCATCCTGCCGCTGATGGGACGCGCGGAGATATTCAACCGGTTCATGAAGAACTACGAGGACATAGTGCTGAGGAGCGACGAGACGGTCAGCCTCATAGTGGTGCTGTACATGGACAGCAAGAAGCCGCTGGACTATGAGAACTCGGAGGCCTTGATCACCAGCTACAAAGATAAATACGGCAAGGACATACGATTGGTGTCCATGGGCTCGAGAACATTCTCACGCGGCGCCGCGCTCAGCGCCGGGCTTGATCTCATAGAAGACGACCAACTAGCCTTCTTTGTAGACGTAGACATGATGTTCAACCATATATCACTTAGAAGGATCAGAATAAACACCATCAAGTATCACCAAGTGTACTTCCCCATAGTATTCAGCGAGTACAACCCTGAAGTAGTCTACGGGGATGATTACAACAAGTTTAAAGGCGAGACGCTGGTCATGAAGAGCGACCTTGACAAATACGTCGCCAACGACGAAAAGTTAACCGCGACTCAGCTAGCTGATATCAAGTACAGCAAACAGATTAACGATGACTTTGGATACTTCAGGCAATACGGGTTCGGGATACTCGGGATATACAAGTGTGACTTCATGAGGGTCGGGGGCTTTGACCTCAACATCAAAGGCTGGGGTCTAGAAGACGTGCAGCTGTTCGAGACCTTGATCAAATCCAACCTCACTGTGTTCAGGATCGCCGATGAAACCCTCGTACATATCTTCCACTCGGTGGACTGTGATAAGAATTTAGAGAAGAGTCAGTTCCTCATGTGTCTAGGAACTAAGGCTTCTACGTACGGGAGTGATAAACATATGTATTATTACATGTTGAATCATCCGGAATTACTCTGGCCTCAAGAACAGAAAGGAACGAGCTAGTACAGGATCAATATAAGACAGTGCTCATACTATAGACTTGTCAGCTAGGTTGGTGTGACGTCACTCTATAATGACTTAACTATAATATAGCGGTAGTGTAAGTGATATTTTGTTACAACTTTTGTACAGTAATGTAAGTCGGAGCTATTTATTATACAAGGACCATGTTAGTCGTAATTTTATAATATGGAAGTCAATATTTTTGGACGCATTTATATATTGTATACAAGGTTCCTATTGTTCTTTGTTAGTAAATCTAATACTCGGTCATGTGTTGAAGTAAGGGTAAGATACGATTTATATTTTATAAAGCATTTAACATACATACAGATATATGTTGGAAACTATGAATATGTGTACTTTTTGATAAGAAACGTGATAAATTTATAAAAAAAACTATGCTGTATTTGAAACTTGAGCAATAATTCTAATTCAGATTAAAATTAAATTCTATTTAGTAATCGTTGTTCTCGATGGTTCATTAATGAAGGTCATAATAAGTATTATATATAATGTATATAGGTCAGCTCACCAAGTGCCCATACTCTAGTAGCAAGTAGACAAATGGAAGCAATGTTTGATATTATTGTTTCGTATTAAATGAACATGTTAGTATTGTGATGTCGATGAGTGAGTTACGATATTAAAAACGTTTTTATATAACACATGTTTATCATTTTGTTAATTGGGTTCAAATTCTTTCTGTTTTTTATCTAGAGTGTCTTTTATAAAACTACAAAAGAATCGTTTTCTTTTGTTCGTCAAACGGCCTCGTAGCTGAAGTTCTTGTAGAAGGTTAAAATTTTTACAAAGAAAAAAGCTTCGGTACTGAATGAAATGAAAATATTAATGGAGTTTGTTAATATTGTTAAGTTTATTGATCGAAAAGTAACAAAACTATGAGAGAGATTTGATGTGGGTCGTAAAAGTATCCTCATGAGAGCTATTAACGTAGGACCTCGTTTATAACGCTACTTATAATATAGTATTTTGTATTGTGGTTCCAGTTAACAAAGAAAATTCTAGAACCGTCTCGATTATAGGTTCCCGCGAGTCACTAGGTCTCATTAACCAGTTTCGATAACATGTCCCAGAATATTTCTAACGTCTTTAAGTGCGATATCATTACTAATGACCAAACTAGAGAATATAGGATCTTTCTTAAGAATGTTGAGCCAAATATGTCCCTATAGTGATAACGATGTGGGCATAAGATTCTACTCTGAGTTCGCCATTCACTGATTTACTATGGAGCATACACAAAGACATTGATGGTGAAGTTTTAAAATACAGAGTTTTAACAAAATACAAAGTTGCCAAGGAAGGTTTTGTCGACAGAGAAACTTTACTATAGTAGAGAAAAAATGTTTAAATAATTTTATATAACTTAGACAAAAGTTATTAAAATACTCACCTATAGGTTTTAAATTGGTAAGTTAGCCTTCACGTCTGTTCTATGTGTTATTTAATTAGTAAATAGTCTCAATAGATATCAAATACACAATATTCCGAATAATTGTCATAAAATTCGTATGAGTTTATTTTTTAAGTAATTCTCTACCAATTATGTTTATGGTTCATTTCAATAGAAATCGGCAATCTTGTAAACAAACGTGATCAGCTGATATTGACATAGAGTCCATGCCCCTAATGATGTAAGTACTCTTAAGATACTTTAATCTTAATTATTATATTAAAGTATTTATATAGAAAAATACTTAAATTTGTTAAGTAAGTATTTATTAGTGAGTTTTTTTTAATGAATTTAGAAATGCAGAATGCAAACGAGAACACAGAAGAGTTGTTTGCATCCCGATAGCACTAAAATCTTTGGTCCTTTGGGAAACCAAGGACCCCAAAGACCATGCCACGAAGTTCAATAAGTATTACCAGATCACTAACGATTTAAAAAAAATGTTTAATTTGTACTTTTTTAACTGACTTTAATTGACTGATTTTCATCACAGCCTGTTGAATATACTATAGTGTTTAGTATAATGAAATCTTTTTAATATTTGTGTGTTGGTTGAATCTCAAATAATAATGATTATAAATATCTTTATTTAAAAATGAAAGTCGTGTCAGTTACACCGTTTATAGTTCAAGAACGGCTTTACTGCATTTAAGGAGGAACAGAGTTCCCCCGGTCAGCTATACATTTCTAAGTTTGAAAGTAAAGTATAGGGGCTTATGTGTATTGGCCAGTTATTAAAATAACTATGTTTCTCATCAATGTATCTGAATATCAGGTATCTTGTAAACCGTAAAGTAATACGTACACTGAGATAAAAAAAAATACATTTGTATATCCTTAAGAATTTTTAATATAATATTAAACAAATTAAGATCGAATAATTTTCGGAAATTTTTAATCTAATGCTATGAGTATTCTCAAGATTGCTGTTTCATTGTGATTTCTTACGATCCAAAACATTTGTTTCTTACACTCATTATAAAGTAGTCATAACTTATATTTTATTTCTATTTTAAGTTTTATTATATTCTTCTAAACAAAAGTGAAGTAAGTAAAGTGAAGAAAGTAAACGTAATGTAGTTCAAACCAATTTTTAATACGAATGGGAGGTTTTAAGTAACTTAATAAGGTGTAATTATAAACAAAAAATTTGCAATTTAAATGAAAAAATAATAAATCCCAGAGTGTTTAATTAAAGTATGGAAACATTCAAAACAAAGCATTTGAGTTGCAACGATAATTGTTGGTCGCTCGGTCAATGAAAGGATTCACGCTCCACTTTCAATGAACAGGCGATGTATCCTTGATAAGATTTATTGGATACAGATACTCTTAGCATTACGAATGTATATAAAAATAAATTTTATATGTATATAAAAATAGATTTTTTTCTATGAGGATTTAAACAAAATGAAAACTAACGTCCATTTACCTTTACAAAAATTTTTATTTACGATATATTAAGATAAGGTCAATTAGCTAACTGTTCACTCTTATCTTCTTCTTCCTGGTAATTTCCCAGCTTTTAGCCAGGGTCTGCCTTACATGTTGTGAATAGTTTTGGCTAATTGTTTTTACGACCGGCCGCCGGCCTGACACCAACCCTCTTTGGGAATGCATTAATCAGTGATGTTTCTTCTCAATATATATTCTGCAATGTTATGTATGTACGAAAAAATATTAATGATTTCATGAGAAAATGTGATACTCATAGCATTGGTACAAGGAACAAACATAAACTTTTTACTCCTGTTACTCGACTACATAGAGTTAGTAACTCCTTTGTGGGGCAATGTATACGGTTTTACAACAGGATCCCAGAAAGCGTTCAAAATGCCTCTATTGCTAAATTTAAAAAAATTATTAAGGAACGCTTGTGTGAAAAAGGTTACTATACAATTAATGAGTTTATGAACGATAGCACACCTTGGGAATGAAACGATCGCCTCCTGGCTATTTCATCTCATATTAAATTGTGTATATAATATATGAGACAAATTTATATATATATATATATATATTAAAAAAAAACCCTCTGAGTTTCTTTCGCCGGTTCTTCTCAGGTCAGGGTATTTTCTTTTCCGAACCGGTGGTAGTGTCTCAAGTGACCATCAATAAGAAAGTGTAGTGCTTCTATATTGAATAAAGTTGTTTGAGTTTGAGTTTATAAACTCTTAGAAAGTACATATAACTCGAAAAAATCACATTGGTACTTGTCAGGGCTAGGATCGAACCCGCGCCCTCATGCATGAGAGGCGGGCCTTTTAACCACTAGACCACCACTGACTTACTATTCACTCTTATATGATACCTATATTTAATGTTGATACTTGCAGTTTTTAAATAAACATATGGGAGATTTAGTTATTTTGAAGAGTAAGTGTAATATTACAGAACTAACAACAATAGTGAACAAATTAACTTAATATTTTTTAAAACAAATAGGGATCCGGATTTTCTTCACAGAATGTTGATATTTCGTCCCACAAATACTGACTTTGATTCACTTAAGTTAACAAAGCCATGTAATGTACATGACGGTAGTATTTGACACACAATCACAATATAAATTGCTCATACATATTTATAAACGTGATTGTTTGCAACACTAACATCATCAACTCGCTGTTTTCCGATTTACTTTGAGTTTGATGTTTTGAATCACATGCTTTTCTATTCTGAATAAATATAATTATTAAGCAATCTTTAACTCACGAGACTCCGTTATACATATACAATAATCTAAGTAGTCTTAGTCATTTAGTTCATAATATGGAATGAATGAAAAATAATTGCTCAAGAATATATGCTTCTTATAGTCTAATATTCTTATGACTTCGTTAGTTTGTAGGTCGGCGTATAAGTATAGTCAATAAGTCGCTTGTACTGAATAGCTTGAAGCCAATTATGTCACTTGTAGAAAACTATGTATAGACATTTATAAGTCGCTGAAACGAAACTGTAAATAGTGATTTTTGAAGCATAAAATTATGGATGGCCAATAATTGAGAATAGAAATACAATGACATAGCGATTGTACCAAATATAATTGTGAACTATAAATGTTTTTCATCGATTGGGAATTTCTTTTTCTTGTCGTTTTTGATTCTTGGAAATTGTCTTTAAATTTCACGACCAATTTGATTGCCAATTTCCTTGCACTAGTTCAGATATCGTTGTTGATATTGGTACAATAATGAGAGAGTATGAACTCTTGAAAAATAATGTAAGACATTTTTGTTCTATGATTACTTGGTTTTACACTGATCCTCCCCTCCGCTAGAAATAAAAAAAAATTGCATCCTCTAAAAGCGAAAGGCCTAAAAAATGTAACATTTCAATGGACTACATGGGTGTCAGTATAATCTTTATGACTAATTAATTATTGTTAGGGGATTCCTAAAAAAAATAAATTTGAACTTTTCAGTTTTATATCATCATCATCATCATCATCATTTCAGCCGAAAGACGTCCACTGCAGGACATAGGCTTCCTCCAGTTTTATATATTATTATTTAATTAAGTTACAAAATTATTTTTTTGCTATGGCTCTTTAAATAGTTTTAACATTTTATGAAAGTTTCGGTTAAAACGGCTAAGCAGTCTCAAAAATTAATATCTGAAAAATAAAACGACATATAGAGGAACAACAAAAAATGTAACTATTATAAATCATAGAAAGAAATTTTACTTATCTGAAAATATTTTTAACTTAGGTAAAGATTTTTGTGAATATTGACCCTTATACATAGGAGCCATCGATATATATATACGTTTAGAAACATTATGTTGGGTGTCTAAGAAATTACATAAAAACTAATTTAAGACAAGGCACCAAAAATTATACAATACAATAGACAATGAGTGCCAATTATTCCGTAGTCTGAAAAATACATTTGATCCTCCAGGCGATAACAGAACGTTGATTGCTAGAAGCGATAACAGACAGGAGATAGAGATCCGTATGATGCAAGCTCATGTGATGTTACAACTAATCACTTAGCTGTGGAATTACTTTCTTTAATGAGCCTAGAATACACAACGATGTCTCTGTGTCACTTTTAAACGTTAACTTGCAGGCTTCGTTGTATTAAACTGTCGGCTTTTAACAATAGTGGACTGTACATATAATTTAAGTTGAAATATTTGTATAATTTATTAATGCTGTTGATTATCTTCGTATAATAATTTGTGAATTTCGTTTTAAGGATCGAATAAAGTTAATAAACTTAATAAAATTGAACGATTTTTAAATTGGGAAAGTTTTTTATAAGATTAAATTATTTTCCTCATATAACTTAATCGAGATCGTAATACTAAGATACTATACAAAAAGCTGAGTGAATGAATAATAAATAAGTAATTTAATACAGTAATGTTTTAAATTGAATTTTCTGTCACAAAAAGATTAATTTCATTCTCATTAGGAACGTATTGGTGCATGTGGTTGAGTATTTGAAGTATCTACTGTTTATTAAAATTTCAAGATATGTACCTTAATTATTGACACAGTTTATTGAGAGCATTCTATATAGCGTGGGATATAAAGATAAAGGGTCGTGAGAAATGTCACTACATGTTGTAATAGTTCGAAGTCAAAGAAGATTTTCAATACACGTATTATTGTGTAGGCATGTAATGGAGATTTCTGCTTTTGAAACAGCTCCTTTTCTTGACTATATTTTATACTAATGTTACGATCCCAGCGAGTGTCATTATGAACCGACTGTGCTGATGAAATATTTGATTTATAATGGGGTCGAGAGATTATTCTGAAGCACGTAATGATGATTGTGAACATGCCGTAACCGGGTCGGGTTACTTAGGTCTTTGAAAGTACTCACCTAGTGTTAGAGGTTTTTTGTCAATCACATCACAAATTACAGTCATCTATATGACCGGAAACAGAGATAGAAATATTATTACAAAAGAAACCACCAGTCGGTTATTAAGTAATTAAGCATTAAATGTTTTGAAAGTTGAACGTCGTAGAAGAATCGAGTTATTTTTTGTTTATTATTCATGTGTTAATGAAATGAGAATAACGTATTTGAAAGGTGTTTATTTAAATTCAAACTTTCATATTATTAGCATTTTTATGTTCTTTAACGCATCTTTTGTAATTTTCTTGTTCGGAATTATCAGATTATAATTTTATGTTTGTATTAATGAAGTGATTAAACTTTAATATATTAATTTGTAAATGTTATGCATGTAGAAATTAATATTGTCTGGGATATAAATGAGACCATGGTTTTGTTACGGTGTCAAAATGTATTTATCTTTTTTGTAATAAAAAAAAACAAAGCTTAAAATAAATTACACTAAACTTATCGATAAACTTTTTACAAGATTTGGATTCGTTCCCAGCCACGAGCTACTTCGGTGTTGTCTATCACCTATCAAATGTACGTATGTTTGTCAGGTGATGGCCAACCCGACTGGCTGGTGGCTGGGTAACCCGTGAGCGTGCACAGTCGCAAGCGTTGGCCGGGATCTGAGGCCTGGTCGACCTCACCTACATTGTACGTGGCGATCGACCTAGTGGATTAAATATTCGGGAGGTCGGAGGTGGAAGGACGGGCCCGAATAAAGGAACGGTGACGTTCTGGTTGTGTTTAGGGGGCGCCGTAGCTGCCTGAAGGGACGGACGGGGCGCCGTAGGAGGAAGAGGGACCGGAGGGGTATCCGCCACCACCGCTGTAACCACCGCTCTGTTCATATTGAGCTACTTGGATAGCTTGACGGACTCCTTCGAGGTTGATGCCGATGACGCGGCCACCGTGGCTTGGGACACCATAGCTGGAGGAAGGAGGACCGTACGAGGAGGACGGGGCGCCGTATGATGATGATGGAGCGCTGGCACCTGAGCCAGATGAAGACTCTTCTTTGAGGAGGATCTGACGGATTTGTTCAAGGAGCTGAGCGTCTACGTTTTGGCCTTCAGATGTCTGGTAGCCTGAAGAAACCGCGCGGTATCCGCCGCCGCCGCCACTGATCCCTCCAGAGTGTCCTCCTGATGGACGGTTGTAGTTATATCCAAGTGGAGCTTCAGCGCTCACACACGCCACCAAGGCAAGGGCTATGCACTGTTGACAAACGATCACATTGTTAATACATGAACATATTAATATGGCTTCTATTACTAAATCATTGTACGAAGCGCCTGTGATTCATAACTTAGTTCAATACATACATATTTATTTCTAGTTTTATTCAATGTTATACCTCACAACTCATTATGAATCATAATTATCTATCGACCGTACGATAGTTTAACTTCGACGTTAATATTTTAAACTTTATGTTAGTGTTAAGTATCACAAACATTACAAGTCAAGTAGCCGTTTGCTTTCTATGTTTTATTATTACTTAGACGAACTACACTTCGCACTTATGTGTCAAAATTTTTTGATATTGTCTCTATACATATATATATTTATCTACTCATTACGGTATTGGAACAGGATAAATTTATTTTCAATAGTTTAGAATAGTTTTCTTTTGTCTGTATAATTTAGTTGGTGAAATTCTTTATTATTTTGTGTGTCACATCTATTTATAGTGTCGTTTTAGATGCGCGTAGCGTTCTTGTTAAGTAAACATATTGATAGAATTTCGTCGGTCATTGAGTTAAATTTTACTTAATTTTTTTTTGGTGCAACATTGATAACACTTCATAAATATTTAATATCTTCCAAGCTCTTAGAATCGTTAAAATCGCATTTCAAATAAACTTTCTAACTTAGATTATTAAAATGGAAATTTTTTTGTTTATTCCGACGCTGATTTAGAAAGTGAATGTCACGGGGTCACATGTTTTACGTTAATACGAAAGAATTATAGAATATGATGACTATCATTAGACTCGTTGAGCTTCGAGCGAAATAATAACAAAACGTCGGGAGAAAGTTCTGTCATAGGTCATACTACGATGATCGGATAAGAGTTGCTTCTTAGATCATGTTTTTTATTAAAACTTACATGTTTTTGCGCAAACTGGAGTCAATTTTATTATATAATAGCTCCCCTACTATTGTCTATCGAACTCTCAACTCAATATTAAGTTTATTTAACCTGTTAGATACTATCTGTGAGTTACGTTTCTGTTCCGTGATCATGGGAAGTCACGGAGGTTAAGTCTACAGATCTCCGTGACATGAGACAATCTTTCAATTTATATGAGACGGTTTCGTTCCTGGTGATACGAAATTCCATTGTTATTTTACTTTACTGAGAATATTTTAATAAGAAGCTTATAAATGAAGTCTTAATTAATTTAGTTTTACAGAAATGAGTAAAGTTTCTGTTGATCAATAAAGTATGTAACGCATCTAGTTCTGTTGGCTAGTTTGTCAATAGATTAAGACGTGAGTACAATCATTAAGTTGACGAGACGCGAATGAAGTAATGGAACTTATTTCTATTGTTAAATATATGTGTAGAAGTCATGAGAGAAATTCAAAGCGCGGTCGTGTTTAGAATGTGCGGAGTGTGTGACGATTACGACACGACATATCGTACGAGTGGCGACCACTCTTGTTTGCTAATAGTATTTGGGTGACGGAAATTTATGCTTATTTGGAAGATATACAGACGTAATTAAAAATACGTGGTTTGATTTATATAGTTTACATCTCGAAAAATTATAAGTTTTTTTTTTTTGGTAGTTTTAAGTAACATTCATAGAATTCTTTAGTGAATTTAGTTTAAGAATGGTCTTTGTATAGTATGAATACTGCATTGCGTGTTCTATTGAAATGCATAACGACGGCTATGTCTTATTTGTTTTCCAAACGAGAGAGATGACTAACACTTTGTCGTGTTTAAATACATTTTAATCCTGATACGAAGAGAGAATTGCTCGAAATATACATATACATCTGTATTTAAAGGTTTCCGAGCCAGGACGAAAAGGGAAATAATGAAAGTAGCAATTTTTTTTTAGGTTAGATCAAATATGATTGAGAATATTTTGATTTTAATATACTTTTCCCAGTGAATGGTAATTTGAAGTAATAACCATAATAGGTCCATGGATGGGTCGCGATAGTTGCTGACCTCTTGCGTAATTTGAAAGAACGTTACAATTGTTACATAGAATATATATTGTTACATTTGACATTAAATCTGTACTCTTCTTTTTATTAAATTTTAATCTATAGAGAAAATTTTGCTCTTAAATTTACAAATATACGTAGTAAGGACTATATTTTTTTTCAATAAACCTCACGTTCAAAGTTGTTAACGATCTCAGACGGTTTTTATATAACGAGTGTAAAATTTATCTTATAAACTCTATTGTCTCTCGATCGACCTTTTTTTTGGTTCTCATCGCTTTATTGTATCAGATAATAAGATTATCTGACTTTGATTTATTACTGTACTCCGTGCCTATTGTTATATTTATATTTTTAAGACAAAAAGAGGATATGTTTTTACGTGTCGTCATTATAAAATTTAATTTTGTTTGACATCTAACTAAACTATATCCTCTCATCTGTCAAAATCGAATGAAGAACGTTCGGAAATCATCATAATAATTAAGGGCACATGTGACACTTGTATGATTGTATGATTTCAGAACGTAACTTCTGTCACTTCACTGGTACACACTTCACTACACTTACCGCTACGAAGGCTTTCATGATGCTTAGTTTGGGTCACTACGGTTCTAAACGAACTTGTGATGTCCAACAGACGGTATCACACTGATATATAGTGAGCACGGCCCGCGGTGGGGCGGAGAAAGGATAGACGGAGTTGCGCAACCAAGGGAGATGCCACCACTGTAGGAAGTTTGTATAATTGGAGGGCATCATGCGATTTTTTGCTGATTTTTTGGTAAAGGGTCATAGGTTGTAGCCAACATAAATGTATTACGAACAAATTCAATCTAAAAACGATGATTATATAAAACATTAAATGCATCTCATTTCATTTGTTTCGCAGTGACAATGACAAGGGATTTTATTTTGAAAGTAAATTTCAGCAACTTCTTCATTCAATGCAAGTTAGTACAGACACTATTATATTTAAAAAACACTATACATGTAGCTAAAGTTTCTCAATCAGATTCAAATCATATACGAGGCAATTACCAAATGAATCCTAAGCTTAATTATGAACTTTAGCCACGATTTTGAGCCACTCACATATCTCATTAGAAATATCTAGGTCTCCTAACATTGAAATGAAACGTGATTCTCAATTATATACAATTAAGTCAACTTTACCATCCAAATAGAGTTTTTAAGTGAAACAATCAAGGCTGAAGTTTCCAACACACGTCTATACAAAGCTACCGTGTACCCGGAACCCAGTAATTATTCTAGGTAACCTAAGTCCGCAACCCAATAGGCTACTAACTATATGTTAACGACAGACGAAGACCTGTTCGGAGTTATTTCATTACTTAACTCATACAACTTACGTGAATAGAAATATTGATTTACAAGTTAGATTATACTTTTTGTACTTCGTATGTGTTACATTTGAAACCAACTACGATATATTTGCGACAGCAGTAATTAGATATGGTGATTACTTTTTTACGAAGTGTGCCCTCGGGCTTTGAAACAATATGTTTTAGTAGATAATGATAATTTTTTAACCGTCAAAAGACACACAAACTAATATCTTTTGACCAGCCAGTGCGGCTTGGCCGAAACGTCAAGCAAGGTACATGAAATAAAGTAAATGAACATAATATAAATGTGCTTGTATTAATATTATCTTCACAACAAATAAAATTTGTATTTTTATAATATTCTGTTGCTTGTTAACTGGTATCAAACGATATTATTATGCGAGATACTTCGTAAAGTCTATCTTTTCAAGATGAAGAATTTCTTGAGTTACGTTTTATTTTTGGTATCTAAAATTAATATTAGTAAACACAATTTTTTTGCATAAATATGAGTTTATACTATAGCTCTTGAAAGATCCGTTAATAAGAACCTCAATAAATAGGGTCCATCATGTGAAAGGAGTGGTTGGATAATTTAGACAATTTTTTTCGCATTTGATTCCTTACGGGAGAGAGTTCCCGTTTAAAAATTAAAGTAACAATTTGATCAGAGTTAGACAAACATGGGGCCGGGAGAAACTCAACGAAACTTCGTAAAAAACATAAGTGGTGAAAGTGTTCATTTAAATGAAATAACATTTAGTTTAGTATTAAGAAAACAACAAAACTTATATAATTTTTATCTATAATTTCTTATTTTATCAACAATGTCGATAGTCAATTAAAATGTAGCGAATATTCATAAGTTTTATTTATTTATTATACTAATACGCAAAATTATGCGAGCTCACTCGAATAAAAGTTCGAAGAAATTTGCAAGTTTTATCTCAGACATTTTAAAGAGATAACTTTGTAGGAAAACTTGAAACATTAGTTCGAGACCGCGGGAGAATTTTACAGTTTTTTTTTAGTGACAGCAATGACCTTCTAATTTGATTAAATTTTTTTAGATGCGATATTGCAAGAAGTCTCTAAATCTGACACTTGTCAGTTATTTGAAAATCAATGTCTAAAAATATATTAAATAAAATTCACGTATATTGATGCTTCAGTGACAGATATAATAGATTTTGTTGACATTGATGTGACGCGTTCCCTTTGTAATACTTTTAATAAAAGTACTGTCGATAAATAATTAACTCGTTGAAACTTGTATTCAGACGTTAATGGCAAACACTAAAGTATTTTTAATTCGTTTAAATTCATACTAACCGAAATACTCCCAGGAGTTACGAAGTTTGTGACGATAAAATACATATATTTTATACGACTGTAAGTACTTAAGTGAAGTCTATACATAAAAATTACAGTATTCTTTATTTTTATCTCATAATCTAATAATAAGACATAAAACCACCTGACGGTTCTATATGATATTATATATAAATATCATTTAAATATTTCATATTTGTCAATTGACGCTACAAATACATGATAGTGAAGAAATATTTGTATGAATATAATTTTTTCATCATATAGTATATTCATAAAATTAAGTCTATTCGGATTAAATGTATATGTGTTAAAGTGAGTTTAATTTGGAAATTAAAGCTAATATTTTGATATGTCATCCATGACAGCTATTAATAACTGTGTCGTAAACGATGTCAAAGACGTAACCTGTCAATACATCACTAGAAAATGAAACGTTGACATTAAAACAATTTATATTTAACGATCGTTTAACATGTTTTATCTGTTCCTTTATTGTCTGTGTATTTTGCAAATTGTTTTAATAAATTTATCAATATTATAAAAGCTTCACGATGAAGGAACAAAAGTGGTTTCAACACTATAATTAGAAAGGACATTAGCATTTACGAGATCTTTTTGCATATTTTTGTCAGAAATTAATTCGATAATTTCTATTAATATTATATGAATTAATGATTAATAATGGATTATAATTATAATGGAATCATCATTGGCACAGTTTACGAATAAGAAAATCGTTTTTTAACGTATGTACTACTTTTTTCATAAGTTATAATAAACACTAAATAACTTTCAAAAAAACTTTTACATGGAAAAAAAATTACAATCGATAATGCAATCCTCATATTAGTTTTTAGGAATCAAAATGTCTTATATTTTCAGAATACTTGATTATTGATATTTGACTGTCTCTACGATAATTAAATTATATTAGCCGTTTACTAAATTAAAATTAATTTGATGCTTTGACAGATAAAAATAACCTTCATACATGATAGATTCAGGGATGCCCATATTATATTTAATTTCTTCCAGTGAGAGTGGCGCCATAGTTTAAAAATATTTAACTACTATAGTTGTCGTAATATTTCAATAATAATCTAAAAAAATAAAGTTGTTATAAAAAATAACTTTATACCAATATAATATTTTCTTTTCTTATATAACGAAGTAACTATAATATGAACAAATTATAGTTCTAGTAATCCAAAAAGTAATCGTTCAAGGACTAAAAAGAATATTTGTGTTGTTGATTTTCGTTTTTCTATGCTTATAATATAATTCAACAGCAAATAGTGAGTCGCAAAGAGATTTGTGTTTTAACTTATGGATAAAATACCTTTTACGCAAACAGTACTTGGTTTTAAAATGTTTCCAGTGTATCAGTATTAAATATCATGAGGTATATTTTTTCTCGTAACATAAGAAAAAAAAAAAAATCAATGAAAACCAAATCTCACATGATATTTTTAAGTTGTCATTCTGAAATAACAATACACAAACAAGATAATAATTTAGAAAAAAAAAATCTTTGCTCTAAAAAGATTTATCTTAAAAATACTTAATTTTTATAAAATAATAAAACTTGTGACCATCACTGTAATAGTTTTAAATTAACAGTTGCTTTCCATAAACTGATCGTCCGTATTGTGTTAAAAAAAGCTATTTCATTACGAAGTTTAAAGTATAATATGTATAAAAATGAGATTATCAAAGAATTTCTAAAGAACACTACAACGATGTTTTGTAAGAAAAAAAAATATATGACCAACAGGTGATGATACATTTTGAATTATAATGCAGAATATTTAGTATATTTGTATATTTTATGTAATTTTAAATAAAAGTGGAATCGTAAATAATCTGTTCTAATATTTTACCATTAATATTGAATTAGTGTGCTTTTAAGTAACTTGGTATTCAAAAACATTTGAATTCATAAATATAAATCGATAATTAGGGTTAACAGATAAAGCAAAAGTTTTTAACTTCTTGTGCATACATTTAGATTTTACATTCTATCGCTAGAATTTTGTCGTATTTTTTTGCTATTATTTTAGATTTAAAGAATTCCTTTACGCTCTTCTCTAAACATATAGAAAGGCTTTTTGGATCCATTTTAAATCCATTAGGTATACAACCTACATTCTAGACCCGAGATATACAATTAAAAAATAATGCACTAACATTAGAAAAGCAATTGCCCCAAAAAATGTAAGAGCCATTGTAATAATGTTTCAGTAACTGTACATTCTTCATGACGATCATATGAATTGTTAAATATTTTTATTTGATATATCTTCTTTTGAAATATACCTACTTACTTGGATTTTTTTCATTTATTGCTTTATTTTTATAAGGAATACTCTCGCAAAATTTTATTGTAACTTACACTACACACACACACACACACACACACACACACACACACGCGCGTGTTGTATCAGCACGCCGCCGCACGCGTCCACACTTGGAACACTTGGACCGTGTCCACACTTTATTTATTTATACGGAAATTTTGTCAAAAATTAAGTACCTATTTTTTTTACATAATTCGAATGAGAATCATGTACCGAGTATTCTCCTTAAATATTGATAGTAATTCACCAGTCACCCTGTATAGATTAGATTTACATTTTAAATATCTAAAATAAGTATTTCAGTGGCTTAATCCTAAATTATTAAGGCTTCATACATTAATCAGAGGAAGTTCTTTCGTGTTGTACAGTCAATTATAGCTCGTGCATTACCTCTCGAATTTCGCCAAAAATCTAACGAGAGCATCAAATTATTTTCATCGGTCACTAGCCATTATGGAGAGGTGATGATGCAATAGCATTCGTGGATCTGCGAGTACCGCGATCCCGCTCATGAAAGGTCAAAGGTCATTTGGTTTTATGGTGTATAGATATATAGATGGCTTTAATGGTATTGGAGGTGACGATAATATTGTTTATATGGCTTTAAGAGCAAACATATAATGAGATATTTGAAATAGATATTCGCGTTTTGATGATAGAAGTTAATAGAAAATTATGTATAAGTTTGAACTTAATTTTTCTTTATATATGTATAAAATAATTAATATTGAAATGTACAGACCTTTACAAACATATTTTTGATACATTGAAAATAAATTTAATTCGAGTGTTTTTGATGATAAATGTTAATTGGAGATTTTATATAGGATTGAAGTTAATTTTTTTTTTAATATTCAAAAGTACACAAATTTAATGTACATATGTATATTTATGTATGTACTCAAAGTCTTTACGATATTATGAACAGTGTGATGATATTCGTGTATTGCTAAACACCTGCTAATTAACTTTCAAATTTACTTTTACCAAAAAAAAACACATCTTTGACAGTCATTTTTCAAACAATAATATAATGGTACCTACTTAGAATCTTTTATGATGCATTTGAAAACTAATAATTTTTATCTAGCATTTTATTGTAATTTAATATACAGGGTGACTGGTGAATTACTATCAATATTTAAGGAGCATACTCGGTACATGATTCTCATTCGAATTATGTAAAAAAAATAGGTACTTAATTTTTTACCAAATTTCCTTATTAATAAATAAAGTGTGTACACGTTCCAAGTGTTCCATGTGTGGACGCGTGCGGCGGCGTGCTGATACAACAACACGCCGCCGCGCGCGAGTGTGTGTGTGTGTGTGTATACCTAATCTGTAGGGTGTTCATACGATGCGTAATTAATTACATAACTTTTAGTTAACTTTACTTAGAAGTTTATTAATATTTATGTTACATTAAATTTTATTTTGTCATATATGATCGTCAAATATCACGTCCTCAAGTATCGATAGTAATTCACCAGTCACCCTGTATAAATCGCATGAAAGATGAATGGATCAGAATTATGTTTAAAATACTTATAATAAAGATATTATGTGCATAAAAAGATAAAACCGTTAACAATATACTGTCACCTGAAAACTTTGAATGTTGCCATTTTTTATTTATTTTTTAAATTTGACAGAAATAAGAGACTTACACAAACGTTTCTAAATAAAAGACAAATATGTTTGTATCATGAGCACAGATTATTAAAATACTTACAGTACAGGTAAGTACTTCATATATAAAGAAATATAACTCATTAAAAAAGTTGAATATAAACAAAGTGCATATATTTTGATATGTTGGTCCCAAATTTCTAAAAAAGATATGTATTTACTCCTATATTTTTCTTATTATCGCAAAATATTTTTTTATGAAACAATAGTTATTTGCTATTGATTTTTCTCCTTCATTTAAATAACCATTTGTCTTCAATATTCTCGATATTTATCTTAGAATTATTAGAAGAACATTTTGATTTACTAGTGCAATTAATGCAATCTAATAAGGCTGCAGCTATAAATCAATTATAATGTAATAATTAAGGAATACTAACTGTATCAAGATGAACAACTCCGCCTTCCAATGATTATTTATTTTAAAACAGTTTGAAAGTGATATGAAAACAGATTCACAACAGATGCACATATTAATAAAATGTTATTTAATAATTTAATATAGAGGTTATTATTGTTTCAATATTTTGTGGTTTAAGAAATATGAATGACTAATAACAAATTAACATACATTTATATTAGTTACCTAAATATCATCTAAGGATCTAGGAAGACCCTCTAAATGAGAACAGATTTTACCTTAGTTTCCAAAATTGAGTATTACCTTTAAGTAAATATAAATAGGAAAATTCTTAATTTTTATAATTATTTAAACATATCTATATGAAAAACTATTAATATAGATAACGTACATCCTTTTAGACGTTTTTATTTCAGAAACCTCTTCATATAATCTCAGCTCTATTACATAATGGACTTTAAACCTTCGAATAGTTTTAACAATGACAATTTGCGTATTGTAAATATAAACTACTGTTATCATAGTTAACAGTTAAATACGTGGTAAGGACATTGATGAAAAATTGTCGAATGAAGTAAGGTTAGGTAGTAAATAACTTAATCGGTACGTTAAAACATTTGATTAGTACAGAAGGTACTAATTCAATTTAATATAGTGAGTGAGCCGCGACCTCTTAGTTGGTAGATAAATATGAACTCTAAGAAACTTAAGACTTGTAAAAATATTTAAGGAATTTATTTATTATTATTCTTTTATGACTTTAGTATATTGAAATTTTACGCAATATTAAGTTACTATTAAATAATGTTGTTATATTTACAAGACTTTTAGTTTCCTACAGAAAAACAAAAATTCGTAGACGGAAATAAATGTAGTATTATCATTTTTTTATTATTGAACTATATAAAAATATATTGTTTTATTAAATAGAATAAGGCAATAGTAGGTAAAAGATTTATGTTTCTCATTCTATCATTTAAAATTTAATTTAGGAATTTTCTATAAAATAAAATATAGAAACTAAAAATAAGTTAGAAGAACAACTATTAGGTACATAGATATTTTAGATCGATGTCTAGTTGTCCTTTAACTCCTCGAATTCATAATAAAGAAGGAATTCTATTTTTTTTTTTTTTATGTTATAGGTGGCAAACGAACAGACGGCCCACTTGATGGAAGGTGGATACCGTCGCCCATGGACATCCGCAACAAATATGTTGCGGATGCGTTGCCAACCTTTTTTTTTAGGGATAGGGAAGGGTGGAAATAAGGAAATACAAGGAAAGGTTGGGAAAAGGGAAAGGGCAACCGGCTCTCTCACTCATCGGACGAAACGCAGTCATTACTGACTACTTCACGCCGATCTTCTGTGAGAGGGTGGTACTTCCCCGGTCGAGCCAGCCCATGTTCGAGCTGTAGTAACTCACCACAGCTAGGCTCTACCACCTATAAAAATTCTATACCAAAGATTAAAATTTTTCAAAAGCAAAAGTTATAAAATGTATCAGTAGTGTCCAAGACAACATCACACAACATACGAAGCTTTGATCGTTTTTAACTAAATATCCAGCGTTCAAAACTATCATGTTCGAAGATTGATGTACCAAAAACTGTTGACGCTCCGTCTAACACGACGATAT